ATACAGTGAAACTTGGTTAAGTGGGACCTGGATAAGTGAGAAACCTCCATAACTGGAACTCATGCTGAGGTCCCAACACTTTGGCACTGAATTACCTCTGTTAGTGGGACGAGGTAAACCTCTATATCTGGGATTTGTTCTTTCGATTTATCATCATAGTTACCTCTATAACTGAGACAGCTAGTAAATTTTATATGCATAAACCTCTGTAACTGAGATAACATTGTTTGTTTACTCATTCTTATTCTACCCACAAATTCCACACGTAATTCCAAGTCCACCTCTATTAATGGAACCCTCTGTAAATGAGACAGATATTTATATATACCTGTATATCTGAGACACTGGGTAAGTGGAATACCTCTATAAGTGAAACGACATTGCAGGTCCCTTGATGTCTCACTTAACCAGGTTTCACTGTATATCATCGAATCAAAGTATTTAATTTCGTTTGTGTATCTAATGTTTTAAAATAATTTACCTATTACCTACCATATTTTTCACATATACAAAAACCCTACATATTGTCTTTTCTATTCACTCATTCGACTTGCATTTAATGCTATTTGTCTAGGCTAGGAGATCTATAAAGCTGTAATGTACAACTACATAAAGTAATGGCATGTAGTGTTGTTATTACCTGCTATGATTCGTAACTACTGTTGCACAAACAGGTATAGAAACTACCATTATGTATGACTAATGTCTATTAGCGTCGGTGAGTGAGTAAGGCCCATTTGATGCGGACTCTGAGGGCGTCATACCAAGAAATAAGTGCTTAGTGCTTATTGAATCTGGTTACAGATGTGATGATGGTGATGATAACTGAGTAAATGTAACTCTTGATTAGACATCTTAGGATCTCTAACTTAGAGCTAGTCGTGGATTCGAGAGATATGTAGGTAGGTACGAAGTAGCCAGCTTTCTGCCTACGCACGGGGGACAAAACGAGACGTGTGGCAGAGCACGTCGCCACAATTGGGGACTTGCCTTAATCGAAAATAAATTCTTTCGACTACATATAAAAAAATTATCACACTTTCTTTAATTGGTTTTATGAATAACTTAATTTTAGTGCTTTTCCTACATTTTTTTAAGAAATAATTGTATGCTGTTTACTAGAATTTCTCCCAACCTTTGTGTGCTGGGCGAGAGGGAGTGTCGGACTCTTACTGACTAAAAACTACCCCGTTCCTACCCCTGCTTCCAGCCGCTAGCCGGGGTCGCGGTACAAAAAGCGCTGACTCCATCAAAAAGAGTATCTTTCCAAGGTTTACGTCGTTAAAGTGAGTTTAATTTGCAAATAACGTGAGCAAAATACATGTCTCGTCAACGTCTGTTATTCCCCGGTTCCTTATAGGTCAAAAGTAGCGTCAATACGTCATTAAGATATTGTTGACAATTTCGTAACTTGTTTACATACCTACCTACATATCCATTCGATGAATACATGAAGGAAAATAATATTCTAACATAATACAAAATAACCACTGATTTACACCAAAGGTCATGTGCACAATTTTTCATCATTATGGTTACTGATTCCTGGGCTCTCTGCCATCATCATCATCATCATTATGGTTACTGATTCCTGTCCCCTCTTTGAGGAGTGGCTTGAGAGACGCTATGGTGTCCTCACCTACCGCCTGACGCAGGTCCTCACCATACATGGAAGTTTCGGGAGGTACCTGTGTCTGATGGGGCGGGAGGAACTCATCACTGCGAGGACCGCACTGAGGACATGGTGGAATACACAGTCGGATAGTGCCCTCAAGGACGTGATCGGCTACGGCGACCTCTCGCGTCCGGCCCTAGTGCGGGCCATAATGCGGAACGAGGGGGACTGGGATGCCGTCTCCTCCTTTTTCGGAGCAAAGGAGGAGGCGGGACGCGTGAGGCAGCAAAGCGCTGCCTCTTCACAACTTCCCAGCCGTCGCGAAGGACACTCCGGATGGGGCCACTTTGCCGATGACCACTTTGGCTGATGCCGATTTGGAGTCGCAGAGAACCTAGCGAGTTACCGGGGCTCCGGCTCGAAGTGCAGGAGAAGGAACGGGGTGGTTTTTAGTCAGTAAGAGTCTGACACTGCCTCCCGCCTCACTAAGGCGGAAGAAGTCATTCGATGATTAAAAAAAAAATGGTAACTGATTCCGTACGACAGACATGGCTGACGTAGCTATAACCACAAGTTCATTAGACAATATATTTCCCAGGCTATTAAATTATGAATTTTCGAAAAGAAAAGTCGACACCTGATACGCTGTCTGGCTTAAATAATAAATTAATATGTGCTCGGCAGCTGACACGGTCGAAAGCAAGGCTAATAATTTGCGTCGTGATCCTGCCATTATGCAAACCTGATGTCTACCCTTGACACGATATCATTTAATAAATATACTGCATATGTTATTGAACAACAACTTTATCATTATTGAAGTAATATTTGCCTATAACGTTGAGTCAAATCGATGATAAAATTAGGGTCAACAAGGTCTATAAATCGTTAAAGTGGTATTACAACTTTTACAAATTGCCTTACGAATTTTACAAGAACTAACTTAAGTATCTACCTAATATTACTTACGTACTAGGTATACAAGGTGTTGTTTTAAAGCCGCATCATTTTCTAGGAGGTAACTCGGCTATCGATTCTGAGGTTGAATCAATAAAAAATATTGTAGGTAAATATTTTTGATTTTTCTGTAAATTACGGAAATCCGTAAGTACGAACTACATGCCGCCGTCTTGTAACTAGCTTTATAACGTGGCTTAACACACACAAACTAAAACACGTTATTGATATTATACCTAATTCCATAAAACTCCAATAAGAAGCATTGTTGTCGCTTTTTCCGAAATACTGTCCAACTTAAACGATTTATTATAGCCGTATTTTTAACTATTGGCCCGAAATTTTCTCTTACATTGAACCTTTATGACTTCTGTGACATGCCCCCGAGAAATGATACGGCTTCAAAACTACACCTTGTATATTCATAGCAACGGCAACAATTATTATTGTGCAAAATATTTATTCACCTAATAAAATGTCTTGCAAGTCTCTTATTCTTCCGACTCGAAGAGCAGGAGTAGGAATGGGATGATGATTTAGTCTGTAAGAGTCTAACACTCCTCACGCCTCAATCAAGGAGAAAGAGACGTCATAGGATGATTTTTCTCTCTTTAGACACTATGATTGCGAGACTTGCTATTTCGACGTGAATACTGCTTTTCTACGTGAATACGTACTTAGGTATTATTTAACTTCCCAGTTAATCATACTCATGATCTCCTGGTGTTACATTCCAGGTTCTGCTACTATCCTGCTGTCTGTCGTGGCTGTGGTGGTGATGGTGTCCTACACTGAAGCTGGTGAGTTCATTTCTTGAGGATCTTTTTTACAAAGTATCAATATTCATACTTGACGGCACGGTTCGTGCAACTGGCTGCCGCGCAACGTGTCGCGGGGTCGTTTCCCGCACGGAGCATATTGTGTGATCAATACATTGTTGTTCCGGGTCTGGGTGTCATGTGTATGTGAACTAGTATGTTTGTAAATGCACCTACGATAAGAAATACTCTCAACTAAGCTAATTGTAGGTAATCTAAATTATATCTACATAGTTCTCATAGTTGTGTAAGGCATTCAAAGTGGCAATGCTGCCAGCTCTTTCGGCACCTTACCCCATGACAATGATGAGGATAATTTTTTTGATGCGTTAAGCTGACATAGTTCTCTATTAATAATATTAAGTACCTACAAATGTATATAGTTACACTTACCTTCTATACTATAACCGTCTGTTAAATTTGAAATCTAAATACCTCTAAATTCTTAAATCGACCCAATCTGCGTCTTTTAAAGTGCTAGAAATCTGACTACGTAGACATTCCTGGTACGACCATATAAGTTAATGATTCAATCATAGTAATTAGGACCGTTTAAGGTTTGCAATTAGACGCTACCTATTTCAAATGACTTGATTTATATCTTCTATGTCAGTGTCTAGTAATAGTTCAATCGCTTTGTCCAGGAAATAGATAATAAGTATTGATTACAAAGACATTGCGTTTATTGCGTTTTTAGTCTTCTTATTCTTATACAGAGTGGAATTTTGTAATGTCACTTGTAGGGGAAGTACACTTAATACTTAAGATAGAAAATTTTACTCAAAGAAAACTTTCCTTTATTTTAAAGTAATTAGCTATTTAAACTAGGTAAACGTAATTAGCTTCCAACGATCTAAACTATTTTACTGTCCAATTTTCCAGCCGGCAACTGCCCTCTCCCGTCGAAGGTGTACGGTTGCAGCCCCAAGTGTGTCCAGGACTACGAGTGCAGCCACGGTAAGGTGTGCTGCTCCAACTCCTGCAACGCCAAATCCTGCACTGAACCAGCTGCCAATGGCGCTGGCTCTCATAGCTCCAGCAAATACCAGAGTAAGGAATGAGTTTAATCATAATCATAATCATAATCATAATCATCATCACGCCTTTTATCCATGAAGGGATAGGCAGAGGTGTATATTACGGAACTATAATAATGCAACACCCACTTTTCACTATTTAATGTTATGAGTCTCATGTAATAGGGGGTGAGCCTATTGTCATATACCGGGCACAATTCCAGACTCCGTGCTAGACTGAGAATTGTTTTTAAAACCCCAGGAATGCTTTGCCTGGCCCGGGAATCGAACCTGAAACCCCTTATCCGGCAGTTGCACTTGCGACCACTCGGCCAACGAGGCAATAAATAAGTAAAAATGAGATATCTTTATATTAGGTAACATTCAATTTAATATGATTCCAGCGGGTGGAGCCGGGCAGTACTGCGACAACGTGAAGTGCAACTCTTTCGAAGTATGCAAGATGGACCCCTCTACTAAACGCCTGAAGTGCAGCAGACCTTAAGACTGTCTACTAATTAAATAATCTACATAAGTACTCATTATTACTCAATAAAACTTAATGATTTTAAATTTCTAATTTTTATTTACGTAGGTAATTCAAAATTATTGAATACAGATTAGTTAACATATTGTTATCAATAACTGTCGTGAGACATACATACTGCTATTATACTACCAGTAGGCTGCGCGACATCACCGAGACATAAGGAAGAACCCCTCTGTGGTTCGAAACTAGTAGAGGTTTACTCAGTATATTTCTAGTTAAATTGGTTTAAAGTCAAAGTCAAAGATCTTTATTGTGAGACAGTGGTTACAAAGGTTGTTCTAAAGCTAGCATAGACCAATCCAGCTAGGCTATCTATTTAAGTTATACATAACATCATCATCACGCCTTTTATCCCCGAAGGGGTAGGCAGAGGTGCACATTATGCCACTGTACAATGTAACACCCACATTTCACTATTTATGTTATGAGTCCCATGTAATAGGGGGTGAGCCTATTGCCATATACCGGGCACAATTCCAGACTCCGTGCTACTACTGAGAATTTTGTAAAAACCCAGTAATACATTGCCCGACCCGGGGATCGAACCCGAGACCCCTTGCCCGGCAGTCGCACTTGCGACCACTCGGCCAACGAGGCAGTCTATAAGTTTTTTTTTTTTTTGGGACATGCCC